TAACTAATTTGCATATTTGCCCTTTGCGCGGTCTCATTGACAGTTGGGCGTCGGGCTTCAATGCCAAAAGCCAATGAGGCGCACCAAAAATGCATTTAAACCCAAACGGGTCGCTTCTACTTCTACCCGTTACCCTTTTGGACAACAATTGCCATTTTGTGCTCTACTCGCATTTTATTTTTTCTCCGCTCTGTATTTTTTTTTGGCGGGACGCCGAAATTTTCTATTTTTGGCTGGACTAATTTGCATATGACAGCAAGGATGTTTCCAGTGCGTGCGAGCGAGAGTGTGTGCCGGAATTTGGCAAACTCACTTCTGGGTTGCCCTGCCAGCTTGTCTCGGCTCCTAGGTAGCGAAAGTGAAAGGATTCGGGCCGAGGGCCCAAAGGATAAGCGCCCTGATTGCATACCAGAGACTTTTAACGGCCGCTGCATGCAAAAATTGAAATTGCAGGAGGTCGGCAAAAAAAAAATGATAAATGGCTGGGTTGCATCCACGGGAAGATTCGCATTTGCCTATATGCAATTTGCCTACATGATAGTTGACCTTGCCGAAAAAAAGCAATAAAGGGTTGCTCAAGGGTTGTCTTCGGCGGTCTCGTCTTCAGGACTTCCTCCCATCCTGTTGTCTTCTTAAGTGTTTGTGTTTTTTTGGCGCGCAAAAAAATAATCGAGAGTCGGGCATATGGTAACGAGTTGTCCGAGGCTTCTTTTTTACGCAAATGGATTGCAGCTGAGGATGAGGATGATGATGATGCCTTCGATGTGTCTCTCTAATGAAACGTTTGTTTGCAAATGAGCAGATAGATAGAGTCGGGGGGAGGTGGGGTAAGGATAGGGTGAAAAGGGGTTGGGAAGATGATGCAAGGATTATTTGCATGAAATTTACTTTCAAGATGATGTAGGTAGGACAGACAGTAAGGATTAATTGTATGTGAGATTTTTAATCGATTCTCCTTGGGTTACCTTTAAAATCAAATAGGGTTCTATAAGCTATTATTCTAAAGAAGATCATATTATCTGAAACTCAAGTTTCAGAAGATGAGGTAAATAGCTTGAGGTCGAGCAAACAAAACGTTCTATCTTATATAATAATTCGGAAGCAGGACTTTGTCAAACTTAAATATTACTTTTAAATTTAACCTTACAACCTTAATTGTTACTATATTAATACTTCAGACTGATACGTCACCCTAAAAGTCGACCTCAGCCCATATTCCTTTTAAGATTTTTCATTGGCGCTAAAATTATTTAAATCGGATTAGCTAATGCCAAGTTACGAGGGGTTGCCACTTAAATAAAACTACTCCCACAGCTAGACTTAATTCCGCATTTGGCATGTCCAATAAAATAATGTTTTTCTTACTTAAAATCCTGTTTAAATGCATTAAAAACAGCTAAAGCAAATAAAATTGCTTTGCATTTGCCACAAATTAGTCGTGGCGTTGTATTCCCCCTACATATTTAGTTTGTGTGTGTGTGTGCATTAATTGTATTGCGCGATAAACAAAGCGATCAAAAGCAGACCAGTTTATATGTCTCGATTTGGAAATTATGGCACTTTAATTACCAAAGCAGACGTCGAGGTTTTTGGGTCTCTCACTCTCGCTTGCCAAACAACAAATTAATGCAAAATAAGAAGAAAATTATGCTAATAATTATAAACAAGTGCGCCCAAAACGGGCACTGAACGAGGTGTGAGATAGAGACGGAGTCGGAGCGGGTAGATGGCCATATAAAAATGCAGCCGAAATGCTAATCGAGCTCATTATCATCCAAATCAACGGCGCCGTGGTCTCGGCCGCCACGAGAGATCTTCCATTCATAAACGCAGCGCTTAGTTGATTTTTTCCTTTTCATTTTTTTTCATCTTTTTTTTTTATTTTTTTATTTACTCGCATGCGGCGCATAATTATGCAACAAGTCCTTTCCTGGCCACAAAAACCAAAAACGCGGCGCGTGCGCATTTAGCATATGCCGTCGAAAGGAGTGGGAAAAAAAAGACAGAATCACCGAGGGAGGATGGCCGGCAAAAACAGGATTTTTCCTTCGACATTTGAAATTTAAATACTGTTTTTTTCACTCGCTGTTGTTATTTAGCGCCGCCACCTAATTATCATGTAAATTTTTGTCTAAGGATGAACAATGAGTCAACGAGAGTGACTGTGACTTTATTTTGTCACTGGGTTTTTGGGATGGAAGCGGTTGTTGGCTTATTAATTATGCCCAAGTGCGTGGCCAAAGGATATGGTCATGGAAAAAAATGTAAACAAATTTCATGCAAATACGGTTGAACTTGTCTGGCTTGCGTCTGCTCGGTTGGATGACCTTAGTTTGCATAATTTTTGATTGAGCTCTTGACCTGCCTCAAAAGAGGTCTAAAACTATGTTAAGAATGTTATGCTGTATGGGGTGGGAGTTCATTTCCAGAAAAAGGCTTACGGGCTAAAAAGATAAATTATTTAGGTCACGAAATATTAAACAGGAAATAGTGTGCGGTTGGTTTTCATTATAAAACATATCAAAAATAAACGTTGGGTTATTTTAATGAAAATAATTATTAAAATAGCAATAATAGTTAAAGTTATTTAACAAATGGAAATTCATTTAATTAAATTGTAGTTTTTGCGTAGATGGTAAAATCAAAGTTTAAGCTCATAAAAAAATAAATATTCAAAAGGATTAAGTGTCTACTTTCTAAGCTGGTTAAAAAGGTGAATATGGTTAAACTAAATTTATTACGTCATTTTATAGAAATGTAAATAGAATAAATTGCTTTAAGTGTGCAATAAAACTTATATATCAGTAGATTGTGTTTAGATCCATTCATTCATTGTTTTAGCGAACAGAAACTCTTTAAGATGATTTCCGTTCGATTCTTTCCTTTATGGCGCAGCGATCCAATAAATAAAAAACTTAAAAACTGCACACTGAGAGACAAAAGGGGGTATTTGTATTCAAAATATAACGATGCCAATTTCTTTAGCCATGCAAATTGGTTGCCAGTTTTACGGCAATTTCGCAAACTGCTCATAGAATCAATGAAACTGATGGATAATGGAAATCTATAACTAATGTCAATGCGACATCATTTAACTGTTAACTAGTCAAAACAAAGTCAGACTCACAAAGGAAATAAGAAAGACGTCAACGAAAAAAGAAAGGCACATTTTTTAATAGAAAAACCAATGATAATTATGCATAACAAAAGAAATACGATTAGTGCTTCACCAAGTAATATTGGTTTTTATCTCGTTTAATTTTGTAATTAAGTGTACAAGGCAATGGATTCAACTTTGATATTTTCACTTTTATTTTTACAATCCTTAATTACATGATAACGTAAATAATGAACTAAGAACCAGTATTAAAATATCGTGACTATTTTATTTTATTACATTTATCATTTTATAATCAGCAATACTTTAAAGAAAATTTCTTTAAGGTAAGTTTGACACGTTTGTTGTCCCTCGTAAAATTAAGTGGATTAGAAGTTATATATGTATTTGTAAAACTGTGAAGACAATAGTAAAACAAACTTAATTATATTTAATTTAAAATTCACTAACAAATTGTGCAAACCCGTATTCCATTTAATTTTATGTTTTGTTAAAAATTTAAAGATAAACAAACGCCAACTGAATAATACAGTTCAATATAATATGTGTGCCGGCATGTTTATACATTTTGAAAGCTTAGTAAAATCACAGCGATAAAAAGGTAAATATTTGTTCTAAACATTTGGTTTATTCCTTTTCCACGATTGTTACTAATATATTTTCAGAATCGCAATGGCTACCTCCACTGACTTCCTCCCCTTTTTCGAATAAAAACACACACACTCACAAAACGAAAGCAAAAGTTGTCTGGCCAAGGAGCTGCAAGGAACTGAAACAAAGCTCCCACAGGGAGAGAGAAGTCCTGGATGGAAAAGCTCCAACCGGGAGGCCTACTAGCCATGCCAGGTATTCCATATCCCAATCCTATTCCTATTCCTATTCCTTATTCCCGATAGCCAGCGGTTGAGCAAAAAATCGAGAGATGCGCCGCCGCCGCTCTACTCTCGCCCTCTCGCTCTCGCACTGGGCAATTAAAAATGTCACTCTGCATGGGAATGCATTGAGGAAACTTCCCAGAGCCGGCTCTTCGACTCTTTTCCTTATTTTTTTCATTTTTTGGGGGCGTAACGCTGGAATACGGCGAACCCAATAGAGCGCAAGTCTCCCTTCCAGTGGCTACGATACAGGCCGTCTCACTCGTCGCACCGCTGGCCGTGCTGCTCGCACCCATAGAAGGCTGGAAGGCCAGCGGACAAACTGGTTCCGCTCGCAGGGTGGTGTGCGTGAGAGCGTGCGAGTGTGTGCGTCGCCCTGTCCGTGTGACGTACCGCCGAGCGTCGAGAGCGCTCAACGTAGCGCTGCGGTGCGAGACATGACGTTAGTTCACTTCGATAGCTCTACGAGTCTGCACGTGAATTTCCCTGGGCTCTCGGCTGTCTTGACTTCTCAGTCTCAAACACACAATCTCAATCGGCATCGAATCGGTCAACCCACAAACACACACTCGCATCTGAATTTGAATCTCAATCTGTATCCGAATCAGAGTTTCGCGTTTTGACCACTGATTAATATTATGATCCAAAGCGAAATTTCCCCCGAAGCGAAATTCGTCACAAAAGTGCCAAGTGTTTAAGAGTGCTAAACGAAATTCTAACAAAACAACAACGAAAAAAAAGAAATAGAATACCCAAATCAAACAAAAGTTAGCCAACCGCTAGTCAAGCTAAATAAAAACCGTGAAAAAGCCAAGCATTTGCCGTCGGATTTTTGAGTTGAGCAGACAAAAATAATAAGAACCAAACTTGTTGAGCGCGCTCGAGGGCCACGCCCCCGAAAAACCGAAAACCAAAAAACAAAGATTTAGAAGATTTTTGCGCCTGCCACGTTGCCCGTAAAAGACGTCAAGACGGTTGCCTCACGGTTCGAGTGGAATGAGCATAGGGACCCTGGTCTTCCTTTCGATCGATCGGTGTACAAAGTCGTTAAACTGAGCCCCAACTTGGAGCCCTACCCCGCCAGCGTGGAGGGCCTGAACAGCCCCAGAGCGGTGGGGATGGCCGCGACCTCGTACATGACCCCGCCGAGCGGCGACCTGGACATGGCCCTCGGAGGCGGTGGCTACCACACCTCGTCGCCGCGCTCGGCGGCGGACGCCGGTGAGATGAAGTACATGCAGCACCATCACCACCACCATGTGGCTGCCGCGGCGGCCGCCCACCATCAGTTGCCCTCGTCGCCGTCGCCAAATGGCCAGGGCAATGGTACGGGCTTGGGTCTGGGACCCGGCTCCGGCCTGGGCTCCTGGAGTGCCCTCCATCCGGACCCCTGGTCCCTGCCCACGCACCACACGCACCACCATCCCGCCGCCGCCGCCGCCGTCGCCTCGGCGGCCGATACCGTTAAGCAGGAGATGCACCTCTCGCAGCAGACGCGCATCCAGCAGGGCATGGCATCGCCCCACGCCGCCTGGCACGCCCCCCACGCCGGACACTATGCGACCACGGGCGGCTCGCCGCTCCAGTACCACCATGCGATGAACGGGATGCTCCACCATCCGGCCCATGCGGCTGCGGCGGCCCACCATCAGAGTGTGGCGCCACTGCATCATGCGCTGCGCGGGGAATCGCCCCAGTTGCACATACACCATCACATGGGCGGCGACCGGGACGCCATAAGCGGCGGGGAAGAGGACACGCCCACGTCGGACGATCTGGAGGCCTTCGCCAAGCAGTTCAAGCAGCGCAGGATCAAGCTGGGCTTCACCCAGGCCGATGTGGGGCTCGCTCTGGGCACCCTCTACGGAAATGTCTTCTCGCAGACCACCATTTGCCGGTTCGAGGCCCTGCAGCTGAGCTTCAAGAACATGTGCAAGCTGAAGCCGCTGCTGCAGAAGTGGCTGGAGGAGGCGGACTCCACCACGGGCTCGCCGACGTCCATTGACAAGATCGCCGCCCAGGGGCGTAAGCGCAAGAAACGCACCAGCATCGAGGTGAGCGTGAAGGGGGCCCTGGAGCAGCACTTCCACAAGCAGCCGAAGCCCTCCGCCCAGGAGATCACCTCGCTGGCCGACTCACTGCAGCTGGAGAAGGAGGTGGTGCGCGTGTGGTTCTGCAATCGGCGGCAGAAGGAGAAGCGGATGACGCCGCCGAATACGCTGGGTGGTGACATGATGGACGGAATGCCGCCGGGTCACATGCACCACGGTGGCTATCATCCGCACCACGACATGCACGGCAGTCCGATGGGCACCCACTCGCACTCGCACAGTCCGCCGATGTTGAGCCCACAGAACATGCAATCTTCGGCGGTGTCGGCGCACCAGTTGGCGGCCCACTAGCAATCAGAAATCCAGGAGTCGAACTCAGCTGCAGCTGCGTCCACTCCTGCATCCCTCAATAGTCTAAGCCAGCAACAACAGCAGCAGCAGCAGCAACAGCAACAACAGCAGCAGCAGCAGCAACACCAGCAACAGCAACAGCAGCAACATCAGCAGCAGCAACACACACCGAATACGCCGTCATCGAGTGCGGGATCTTCGGCTACGATGACCAGCCAGGTGATGTCGCCGCAGAGTCCGCTGGGCAGCTCCTCCGCTGGCAATCAGGCTAACAACAATAACAACAACAATAATAGTAGCACCAACAACAATAATAACAACAATAATAATGAGGAGCAAGTTAAACACCATCAGCAGCAACAACAACAGCAACAACAACAACAGCAGGCATCCAGCATAGCAGCCGCTGCAGCAGCCGCCATGTACATGGATCCCATGCGCTACCAACATCCGCACCACCCGCATCCGCATCCGCACCAGCATCCGCACCTGAATCCCGCCCACCATCCGCACCTGTTCCACACGAGCGATCAGTTGCAGCACTCGCAGCAGCAACCCGTCGGCGGTACCAGCAGCAATTCACAATTGTCCCCGGGCGCCGGCAGCAATAGTGGGCTACCGCTCCAGCCGCCCAGTTCCGCCTCGCCGGCGGGATCCGCATCCTCGGTGCTCGGCGGACATCTCAATCTGAATCCGCTGCACCAGCACCACCACTACCAGCACCACCATCACCAGCAACACCACCACCACCAGCAGCAGCAACAGCAGTTGCACGCCCGCCGCCTCTTCGAGCTGAGTCTGCAATTCGGAGCGGCGGCGGCGCCGGGAGCGGTACGCCACTTCAACAGCTTCGGTGGGGCGGGCGGAGCGGGTGGGGAATAGCATTCGTCGGCCGCCTGGTTCGGCTATGAGTCCTCCTAGGACTCGGCGTCGAACGGGTGGCCGCAGTTCAAGCGGGAGCAGCCCTAGAACCGTACAGTCGAACTTCTCTAACGTGAATTCCATGCACACAGAAGTAGTTTCCTGAATTTGTACTAGCTCTGAGATTTTTAGAATGTTTCGTAAGTGAAATTTTTATATTTGGAATTTCCCTCTATAAATCATATGTTCTAACTCAGAATACAATTTTAACTTTACAACTCAAATTCAATTTTTAAAAGTTCCAAGTGCATAAAAAGTTCTCAAAACATTTTAAAGAATCAAACTAAATTGTGATGTATTTTTAAAAATACTTAATACTAACTGTTTTTGAAAGTTCAAAAATTTGAATTTGTTATCAAGCTAAGTTTATTTCAATATTTAGAAACTTGTTAAATTATAAAACAAGTTTTAGCTCCTAAACAAAATTTAAACAATTTTAAAACTTTAACTCAAAATTTATTACATCTCAAGGTTCTCATTAGACAAGTTCGACTGTATGCAGATCTTTAGAAATAGAAATAAGATGAGGTCCGATGATGGGGTTGAGAGATCGTCTTTTTTACCAGTGCATTAATCTGTGTTAAACTTCAGCTTAAAGAGGAGCAGGGAGTGGAGGAGATGGGGAGGCTGCCATCCACCAGTTTAGTTTGTTTTAAAGTTTGAAAAACTTGCTTAAATTAAATCAAATTAACTAAATTAAATGTAAACGAAAAATTTCCTTTATATAAAGCGAAAGAAACACGCAATTCAAATCAAACGTGAAACCAAGTGATGTTGTTTTAACCTAAAAACTAAATGCTAAAATTTAAACTAAAAGAAAAAAAAACTAGTTAAAAGTGCGACCCAAGTGTTAAAGAAACCAAAAAAGACATGCAAAGAAAACAAATTCCTCAGCTGCTCTCCATAAGCAAGGTAAATGTTTCCATGCCCAAAAGTCCACAAAATATTTTTTCGTTCAACACTTTGTCGCCGTCTAGATCAAGTTAAAAAGGCTCAATAAAACGGCAGCAGTAAGGCAACTCGGTCGGTTCTAGCTAGGGTTTAGGTTCATAAGCAAGCCGTGTTTATATATATTATATATATATAGCCAGTAGATTGTACTCTAAAAAATTTATAAACAAACAAAACGTAAATCAAGAAACAAAAACGAAAAACGTAGAATTTAACGCGCGGCGAAGTAAACAAAAATATGAGATGAAAAAGATTAAGTAAAATATGGAAAACCCCAAAACATCTGTAAATAAAAACTTACAGTTAAGTCATATTTTTTAGCTTTAAATGCAATTGTAGATTTTTTAATAAACCCTTTAAGAAAAAAATCATAAAAATACAACCACAGCAGAAAAAAATAAACAACATTTACAAAATATAAATTGTAATTTCTAGGCGGTAATTTTTAATGAATAGGCACGTGAAGTTTAGTTACTTAGTACTGTACTTTCTATATAAGCAAGGAAATCGAATGGAAAACAAACAAGAATATAGCTAAATCTTAAAATTTAAACAAACCAATAATAATCAAATACAACAAATGCTAAATTGTAATATATTAATTGATGTACATTAAAAACAAAAGGCAAACTAAATGCTAAACAACAAAATTGAAATTATTTCAACAACAAAAATAAACGAAAATTGTGTAAAAAAATCCTCTTTGTGTTTTTTGATATACGTTTACATTTTAGTGTACTTTTTCTACTTTCTTATTTACAAAAAAAAAAGAAAATCAAACTTTATCTTTTGGGTGTATCTTTATATTTAAGAATTAAACGAAATTTTTGTTTAGTGTACTTTGTTTTGGTATGTTGAAAACTATGCTATAAGAGCGAGAGAAGTGAAACCGAATATTTAAGATTAAGCCATGCCCTCAACTGTATAATAAATTATATAGACGTACATATATATGCAACAGCAAAGTCAACAAAGCGGTGCATTTCCACCCAAACACACATCCACACAGAGGAAAACCAAGAAGAAAAAATTAAAAAACAAAAAAAAAACTCTTAAAAAACAAATAAAAAAGAATATTATTCACAAAAACCAATCTTTTATTATTATTTAATTAGCGGTTCAATTTGTTTGCGTTTATTTTCGTTTGTTTTTGGTTCACCAGTTTATGAGTCGTTGGTTTTGACAGTTTTACAGGAATTTTACAGCCACCTTTTGCAGATGCTGGTTACGATAGGGCGTTTAAATTTCGTTTGTTTGCTTAAAGTGTTCGGAAAGCCATTAAACAATTAAGTGGGCATATTATAATGCGATTGCCTACGTCAGAGCGCAGCAATCGGCAATTAACTAACAACACCCCTCGGAGATCGAGTTATTGGGCTCGTTAATGAAAGTTGCCATTAAAAAGCGTGGCATTTCGTGAAATTACCATTTTATAAGGCCATAAGTGCTGCTGGAAGTATTTGATGGATCGCAGTTTGTCCCTGGTCAATGGACAATCGTCAAAAAATCTGACGTCAATCGGCAGGCGATTAAAGTGACAATTTGCCAGATTTACGCGGTCATTTGTAATTTATTTTATTCGGCAAAAAAAAAAGAAGGAAAATCAGTTCAATATTTAATTTATACATTGTTTTTCATTTTCTGTTAATACTTATACAGCTTTACATTCATCATTATTTTATTTTTTCCATCGCAAAATATATATTTGGGAACCAAATTCTCGGTTGAGTTCCTAGATACTGCAACCACCTATAGCTTTAGTATTTTCCCCCAACTTATTTCAAAGGCCCCGAAAATGCAAAACAAAATCATAAAATATCATTAAATGTGTCTCATTCCGTCTGCACATTGCCCCCTGCCACCTCATTGTCATCTAATGTATCTCACGCTTTTCACATTTAATTCATAATTTAAATGCATATTTCATTGGATGTTGATTAACAATTTCGTACCGAGATGATATTGGTTAGTAATTCTGCATAAAAATTGCATCAGCCTGTAAATATATCCCGAGCCCTCACCCGCTTTTGTGTACGAAATAAATTCGCATAATTGAAAGCCAGTTTTAGGCTTAAATATATAAACAACAGCCGCGAAAACAATAACAAACAACAAATAATAACAATAATATATATAATACAGAAGCGCAAGTGCAATGATTTTTATTTATGCGACGGCATTAATGCTTAAACAAAATAAAAATGTCTGTTGTTATTTTTGTTGAAATTGAACTTTTGGCGCGTGGTTTATAATGTTTCAATAAACCGCACTGAAAATGGAAAATAAAAATTAAAATTATATTTTCTACACAAGGCAAACACCCACGCGATGCGCTCTATGCACTTGAACAATATATAGACAGTATTATATATCCACCCATATAATTATTCTCTATGCTCTCTTAATTATTTTCTAACAAAAAAAGTAGACGGCAAAATGAAATGAAATTTAATGGGGAAACAACATGGCTGCCCACAAGCCTATTTATACGTTTATCTATTGCCACCTGCCATTTTGGGGTAGTTGAGGCACACACACAAAAACGCACACCCACTCGTGTAGATGAAACCTGCCCCTCGGGCTGTATAAACTTTTATATGGAAAACGGAAAGGAAAGGTTTTTTAATGGTCATGTGCTAGTTGAAATACGCTTTAAGAATTTATGGGGTTTTTGGAGGATTGTCCAAAAGAAATTGGGGTAAATTCCAGACTGATTAATCATAGTTAATGGATTTGGTTGATTTAAATATTAAGTGTAATATCTTTGTTTAATATCTTTATTTTGTTTAATATCTTTGTGTAATATAATTTTCTACTGGGGCATATTTAGACATTTGGTAGGTCAAAATAGACTGGAAGTTTGTTAAAGCTTTTGTAATGTAAATTTAAAAATTTGTTTGAAGATTAATCATAGTATATTTATTTACATCCATTAAATGTATCTTTTTTAAAGTTAATTAAAGAGTTTGAGTTTTATATGCCTGTTTGAGAGAAATTTCGGAATATCTTTCTGGTTAGCGAACATTAATGGTAAATTTATATATGAGGTCAATATAATTCAATAGCTTTATCCGTTTCTCTTGTTATTAAAGTTATACTACCTTTTTATAGAGTCACTCTATAGGTAAAACACATTCCACACTATTTGATGATAAAAGAAACCACTAATATACGAGGGCAAATTGTAGTTTTCATTGGTTTTAATGTTGCCGTGCGTGCCGAGTGCGACAGCGGCAACACCCCCTACACGCCAGCACACCCTCCCCTATTTCCCCGATCATATATATCTGTATAGAGAAACCCCTCCTCGAGGCAAATACCGACATTTTCATTATTATTTCGAGTGGAGTTGGTTTTTTATTATTTCGCGTGGCAAAGCAACACGCCGCCTGCTTTTGTACATTTCACTGTGTGTGCTTTTTGGGCTGCGTGCATACAACCGTGTCAATAATTACCCGTGGGACTGACACGACCAACGAGAATCATTCAAATGTTGCAAAGGCAGCAGAAGTACCAGCGTCCCACTAACAATGGCTAAAAACAAAAGCTACAGCAGCAGAAGCAGCAGCTGAGAGACACAGAAGCTGGTAAGCCGGCACCAGAAGTTGGTAACTGCGAGTCGGGCCACAATGGACGGGCATATTGCCATTGTGGCAGCACTGCCGCAGATCTGGCAAAATGGCTGACACTAGTCAACGTCACCCGAAAACGGGCTGACGAACTGACCGACTGACCATCCCCCAGGAGCGGACTGGCCAAGTTTTCGGTTTGGATTTCAAAATTTTAAGGAGGTACCTCTTATCTGTAGTTTAAAAAAATCTGTTAAATTTGTTGAAATAAATACATTTGATTAAAAATACTATAATAACACGTTTCAAGATTAAACTTTTTTAATTAGCTTACTTATACAACTTTTCATTACAATCATTTCCTTTTCAAATGCAAATAAAAATACAAAATCTAAACCTCTTTCAAAATCGTCATACTATCCAGGTCGTATAAAATAAATTAACATAAACAAATAATTAAAGTATCATAATATTAAGTTTTAATTGTTTGGTTACTTCTATTTGAATTTATGAAAGTAGACTCATAAAACTACCTTTTAATTCTCTTAGTTCTTTGATTATTTTAAATTATTAACATAAAAACCTATAAGTTCGGCATATAGTTTCAAGCTAAACTAAATTATTTTGCAAATGTAATTATCTGGGAGTTAATAAATATATATTTTAAATTATATATTTACAATAAGTAGAACGTTTTAAAATTGTTTGATAGCCTTATTTCATGTAAAGTTCCAGCAACAATTTATTGTCAAAGACTTTAAAGTTTTAAATAGCC